TTGCCAATTCCTCGTGATACCTCCAACTTTTATGCGAAAAAACGAGACTTACGAAACCTGCGATACCGAAATAAAATTTTACTACATCCTTCGTCAACGCGCTACTCATGCAGAATTGATGTAAAAGGCTTCCCCACAGGATGAGAAAAACAGGACATCAATCACCGCCCATTATCTATCTCTCGTACTACCGTTTGATTGGGACTGCCAATCCCCCGTTTTCACCCCACTTTTTCCAGCCGCAAGGGCCATTGCGAATATGTCACAAGAGCCTTTCTTCTCGGAGAATAAATGTTCCCTAGAATTCCCAAAAAACTATTGGCGAAAAAATGATTGGCTGTTTATATGCAACAAGGTAAAACATTCAGAAAAAATTAATGAAGTATTTGGAGAAGAAAATGAAACGTCACAGGTTTGAAACAAAAAATCGTCGATTAAGACAGATGCAATATCTAGAATTCATGTCTTAATGTCTGAATTCTAGGCAATAAAATAGTATTAATGAACGTTAATTTGGGCACACAATATCTCAAAAAAGTCTGAATGTTCGCATAAATTGGCAAAATTACCAGCAAAATATGTAATCTAACCAGTTAATTTTATTTTTGTTATTTTTAGACACTATGTAATGTATACGTTATGAGTCCCGTTATTGGTTAACGCTGTGGGACTCTGATAAAGCAATAAAATGAGAAAAAAATGGAAAATGAAAATAAATTAAAGCTCAAATACAGAAATCGATTTAGATGGCGTGGAATCCATTCATCATTCTTTGAGTTGAACGAGGAAAAATAAATTCCAGCAGGCAAAAAAAATTGATCATCATTGCTAATTTTTTCTATGACGCATGGAGAGAAATATTCAATAAAAATTACGTTTCTTTTCCGTAATTCTGGAGCGAAATGTGCTTGTAGAGAATTTTACGTAACTGTCACGGAATTTTTCCAGAGCGTTCCGTAATTTTTATCTGAATCTCCTGGGAAAAATTACGATACCGTCACTTAAATTTTCTAAGTCGATTGCGTAATTGGTGAGCGAATTGGGAGTTCCGTAATTTTCACTGAATATTTCTCTCCGTGTGAGCCAACAAAATGGAAAAAATCAAAATAAATTAAAGAGCAAATAAAAAAATCGTAACTAAAATAGAAGAGTTAATGGGATTTGATGGTGTGACATCTGCCAATTATTTCCCAATTATTTCAAAAAACAATAGTTCATTATCCAAATAAAACACCCGCAAATTGTTCCCCCAAATTCCTCCGCTCGCGCGAATCTCCCGACACTTCTTGTCCTTCATGCATAATTTATCCAGAAAAAAGCGACATCTTGATATCGAAGCTTCTTCCTGTCATTAATATCGTATCAGACCAGTGAAATTCTCCCTCAAGCTGAGTTTGGCGAATTTCGCAGGCCATTTTCCACACACACGGCTGCAATACACTGTTTCGCAGGAGATAAATAATCGCGGAATTATCCGGCCAGAGGGGGTAAGATTTGCAGGCAGTTGAAATTATCATAAATTGCTACTTAAATACGCTTTCAACCTGCAGGTTACTTTTTTCCACGAGGTAATTTGAATAATTTTCCTTCGTCGACTTTAATTAAAATGAATTGTGATTTGAAAGGTCTATTATCACAGGAATAAAATTAAAAATTCATCGCAATGAAAAACTGCTTGCATAAGTGAAAATCTGACGTTAATTCCATCTGTTTTTCATCATTTTTACAATTCTCGTACAATTTTTCAACGAATAAATTATTCATTTCATACAAATAAAATATTTGCTTTTTATAAATATAAGAGACTATGAATTTCCAACAAAAATGTTATTGCAATGAATAAAAAAATTCAAGTGATGGAGTTTACGACATTTGACTGCGTTATTTAGCTGAGTTTAATCTTGTCAATATTTTTTTTTGTCACTTAAGAGGTCAATTATCACAGGAATAAAATTAAAAAATCATTGCAAAGAAAAACTGCATGAACAAACTTAGATCATTCGCCAGAGAAGTCTAGAGAAAATCTGATATGAATTCCATCTGTTTTTCATCATTTTTAAAGATGAATAGATGTTTTTTGTATCTAAAGAAAGACTTTGTTAATGAGGAATAAAATAATCCTCATTCGGATTAATGAATCATTTTTACAATTCTCGTACATTTTTTCAACGAATAAATTATTCATTTCATATAAATCAAATATTTGCTTTTTTATAAATATAAGAGGCTATGAATTTCCAACAAAAATGTTATTGCAATGAATAAAAAAATTCTAGTGATGGAGTTTACGTTATTTGACTGCGTTATTTATCTGGGTTTAATCTTGTCAATAATTTTTTTTGTCACTTGAGAAAAGAAAAAAATCATTGCAAAGAAAAACTGCATGAATAAACCCAGCTTATTCGCCAAAGAAGTCCAGTGAAAATCTGATATTAATTCCATCTGTTTTTCATCATTTTTAAAGATGAATAAATGTTTTTTTTTTAACCAAAGAAAGACTTTATTAGTAAGGAATAGAATAATCCTCAATTGGATTAATGAATCATTTTTACAATTCTAGTACATATTTTTAAGAATAAATTATTCATTTCATATAATTTAAATATTTGCATTTTACTAAATATAAGAGACTGAATTTTCAACAAAAATGTTATTGCAATGAATAAAAAAATTCTTACGTTGGATTATACTGTGAGAATTCTCTCACAATAATTTTTCTGAATATTTCTTCTCAGTATTTTTATTAATTTATCATTTTTCACGACATAATATTTAAGAATTTTTGTAGAAAATAAGGTTTAAAATAAACGGGGAAATTTATTTTCATTCTTGAAACTTTAATAAATTTGTTTCTTGAATAACTTCCGCATTATTACTGATTAAATTTTAGTAATTGCTGGATGATTTGAACGATAGGATTACAAATAGGATGCACGGTGGGGGAGAATTTTTGAGTGAGAATTAAAAGAGGGATTAACAAGNTTTGCGGACAGACCCTGGAGGACTGTCTCTCGAGTCACGTTGTTAGGAAGCGGCACCGAAGCCAGTAGAAGCCAGTTGTGGAGGGTTCGGTATAACCCCCCTTAGAGTCTCGCGTGGGGTGGTCGTGCCCGCGAAAGTAGAGTCTTGAAGGGGTGATTACTCTCTCTCTCGGTGGGGAACAGCTGATGCTCGTTCTCCCACTCCCAATATTAGGCGTGCGACTCATTCTCTCGATCCCCGTCATTTTTGATTCGTCTCCGGAGAGGTTCTTGCCAGCGACGTCGTCAATGCGGAGTACGAGGTTACCGACGCGAGATAATAAGTCGACATAGGGATTTGAAAGATAAGTAACTAATAATTAAATTCAAGAGGGAATTTGGAGATGATCTCAAGATTTGGAATTAATTAGAGAATCAATTAAGATTAATGATAACGAAGGCGGATATTTTGTGTGTTCTAATTACCTGTTTCATATTGTATCTCTTAAATGAAATAAAGATGTTAATTTTGTTTGGATTATTAATAAAGACAGTAAAAGAAGCTATGATTCCGATGATGAAAGAGTGAAGTTGACTATTAGTCATTTCCGAAACCTGAGAGATCCGCTTCTTTCTACTAATTAAAAATTAGTGATAGAGAAAATGAAGTCCGAATAATTACAAGAACATTTCACGATTTTAGACCGAACATTTAAGAAACAAAGTGATATAAAATGAATAAAAGTCGATTTGAGTAGAGTAACTTGGAGGTAGTTGGATGTGTCGCGTGATCGGTGCAGTCGGTGTAAGCGGCGCAAAATATATCGAACCCTGTGCATTTTGGAACCTGTGTTGCCCCGCGGGTTTTACGTACTTGGAGCTTGTGGCTAAGGCTGGGTCCGGTGTACCCCGAATCCAGCTCACTCGTTCCGGGCGTGAATTCGTTGTAGGGTGCGCTCAGTACATTTGCATAATTCGAACCCGAGCTGCATATCACCAATAGTGTATGCCGGTCCGATGCATTTGATTGTCCCAAACATTTTGAGTAGTATTTGGACATTGTAACTTGAATTTTAAATGTTCATGTTACTGTGGAACTTGAAACCACATAAAAAATATTCAAAATCTAATTGCAATGAATAATGAATTTGAGAATCTTGATGGAAGGAAAGAAATTTTCTGCTCGGCTAAATGAAAGTCGATGAATGACGAAAAAAAAAATGTCTTGAAAGTTTACCGTAACAATTAATCCGAAATCTTGGAAAAATCAGGAGTTCTCTGCTTGAATGGAAAAATTCAATGAGTAACGGGAATAGGTTTTCTCAGGAGACCGAAAATCCGAACAATCCGAAAATCCGATGAATCCGAAGAAATCCGAACAATCCGAGATTTAAGAGAAAATATCCGAAATCATAAGGGGCTTGTTAGAATAATCAATCGAAATTTGGGGTCCTCGTCGCACCCGTACCCGTATTCCGAGCAAATCCGGCGGCGTTGGCAAGAATTTCGTTTCGATATAAATTCTATTCGAGTCCTGACTGATTACCCGAACCGAACGAGACTCCGTGGACATCAAGGATTCATCGATCATCGAGGGAAGATTCAGAATTAGAGAAAACCGAGACTGATACCCGGCATCTAGATTCCGAAATAAATATAATAATTAACGAACACGCTGAACCTATGGTTAATTAATTTTGAACCCTGGCTGCTGAGCAACGAGCACCACAAAATTAATCATAGGAGAATCTCAATTCCAAGTAAAGTTCGTTACAATACGTCAACTGACTGCGTTATTTATCTGCGTTTAGTCTTTCCAATAATTTTTTTCGTGCTAATGATAGTAAATTAATCTAATGATAATGATCCAATGATAATAAATTCAATAGTAGCAAAAAATGATAGAAAAACGATGGGAAGCAATTTTTTTCATTGAAATGAATTGAAAAAATTCTCCATCAGACTTCGCAGATGAGATCTCGCATAAAGCCAGTAAAATTCCCCATAAACCTGTGAATGAAGAACTAATAAAGAACTCACCTTCTCAAACATGACCCCATATTCCTCGAAACCGAGGTAATTTGCTCTGAGCCACCTTGACGCAAGCTCCTTAGCAGCCGTGAGTGCTGGTTCAGCATTCGTATTGTAGAGTCCTTGAACGATAAACGATTGGAGAGGCGCCCAGGCGTTGGGCGCGTCCCACTGTTCATTCGTAATGCTCAGCGAAGACGGTGTTCCACCTGTATCGATCAAAAAGTGTCAAGTGTCATGAGAATTTAGAGCTCACACGATTCAACACGACATCGTCACAATTCTTTTTCATTTCTCCATTTGAAGAATTACTTGTTAAGATATTACGGGCATTTTTCACATCATCACTTGGGAGGGGAGAATGGAATTACAGAGATGATGGAATGATTTCTGGATTTCATTCTTCGAAATGGAAAGTCGACGATTATTTTTCATGATTTCCTACATATTAATCTCTTGAGGAAGTATGAATGAACTGCAGTTGATGAGGAAAAATAAATTCTTAAAGTGAAATAAAATTATTCATTATTGGTCATTTCTCCCATGAATTCTATAAGAAATTGATTCATTTAGATTTAAGGATATTCAAGTACTTTGGCCATTTTTTCTCCAGTGAAATTTTATTCGACTTTTGTAGTCGAACATCAGAGCTTTCATTTGAAATAGTTGAAAAATGCAGCAATTTATAAACAATCAATTTTCTGACACAACAAATTTATTTAATTAATTTAATTGAATAAATTATTTTATTTAAAAAAACAAATCAAATACGAAAAATTAATTTACGATTTGCTATTAATTTATTATTATGTTTTTTAAATTTGAAAAATAAATTGATAATAAATTATTTTATTTAATTAATTTTATTTTTTTTTATTCATATTCAAAATTTTACCACAAACCGATTTCACGTCTAAAAAAATAAGGTCTCCGAACGTTCAAACAATTTCAATTATTTATTTATTAACAATAAATGTTAAAAAAATGATAGTTCCGTGCAAAATATATTTTGAATGGCACTGAATATTACTGATTTTTTTCAAAATTTTCTCACGCAATTTAATTGACAAATTTGATGAGAAATGACCATATCACCCCCACGTGCCCTCCATCAACCCTTATAAATGTCACAAGAGCCCAAGCTCCATAAAAAATCTGATAATAAATATCCTCTCACCCATGAAGTCGCCGATTCCCTGCGACTTCAGATATTCAACAGTTCTCTTCGCATAAATTTCCGACTTTGAGCTGTCAAAACTTTTTGTATAAAGTGGCGTTAAATTGCTGGGATAGAAGAGCCTCCTCGACTGTCTATTCTTCAGATCATAATCCAACCAGATACCGGCCTCTTCATTCCACAGTACCTCGTCAATTCCCAGTTGATAACTCCGCGCAATATCCAGCCACTTCTGGGCTTTCTGCGATACAGAAAAAAACAGGAGTATAAAACTTCAACCGTAAAAAGATAAAGCCAGTGTTCATTAGGTAGAAAAAAAATACAATTGACAGGAATAGGTGATTCCGCGGGGGTTCGTTAATCCGTAGCCCCTGGGTTTACGCTGAAATTTACTCAAACGTACAGACCAAAGGGGAATATTTTTTTATGAATACTCATTCGTGATTCATCGTCTCTTCTCTTGAGTGAGAACTGACAAATTTCCTGTTCTCCAAGAAAAGTACATTTGCAAACCCTTCCAGACAGTCTAATCACGATGATGAATGTGGGTGAAGGTGCGGCGGAAATAGAGTGTCCATTGCTCACCCAAGCGGAGGTGAATTAGTCCAACATTTTTCTTGAAACATCTCAGTCTCACAGGACAATTATTCTCTTTAATTTTTATTTCACACGTGTGCAGTGGTTGCATCAAAAAATACGGACCTCTGGGCACTCTCTTGTCGAATGACAAAGCTTTCTTTGTATCGTTAACACTTTTTCTGAAATATTCTACTGAAATTTAACGAAAAATTCAATTCAGTAGCGAAGTGGCAAAACGGTTCAAGTCAATTTTGACTATTGGCCAGTTATCAGCGAATATCTCGGAATCTAATAAAGATAGCAAAATTTTTGTTATAAACTTTTTTGTAGATCCAATTGAGAGCTACAACAAATGTAAAAATTCCGCTATCTCCCGTAGATTCGGAAATAGTCCTCAAAAACTCAACTGGGACATGAGTCGACTTAAACCGTTTTACCACTTCGCTACTGAATTCTCTTTTTCGCTAATTTCTACTAAAATTATTCTATTCTCCCAAACAAATTGAAAACTTGAATTTGAACGATTACAAAGCTTCCATTCGGAAGCTAAACAATGGAATTTCCGCATGAGTTGTCAGTTAATAGACCCGTTGGAACTGATGAAAAAAACATTGAGGATTCATACCACTCCATTTCCCAGCCGCTTATTGAATTCTCCAAGTAAACGTGCATTTCGCTCGAGCAGAGCGTTGAGATCGACTGGTATAACGTTTCTCGTGGATGTGTCACTGAGATTTCCCGACTTGTTTCCACTGGTTACGAACCACCTGGAACTGAAATCCCAGCCACTTTCAGCGCCTGCTTTGAGATCCTCGAAGAATTCTTTTCTCCTATTTTCTGGGAAGAGATTTCCTAGGTTGTAATCCTCTCTGAAAAAAAGCGCAAATATATTTTTTCAATTGAGTGGACTAGATAAACTAGTGTCGGAAATTGAGACGTCTCGAAAGCACGTGTTTTTACAGAGACACATCAGGCGAGCCAAGTGGAAAAATAAATGAATAATCAGACGAATAAAAGATGTGCATCGATAAATTCAACAGAGAAACAAAATCTGCTGTCGAAATGATTTTATTCTCACTCGTTATTTCGATGCACGTATGAAAAAATTCAATAGGAAACGTAGCGAATTCGCTAGGAAATTTTATTAGAATTTTATGGCTTTTCTATAGGATTTCTATTGGAATTCTATTGAAAAATTCTATTTGTTTTTTGCGCTGATATTCGATAAGAAAAAGTTGATAGATTTCGAATTTCTGTTCGGATTTTTCTCTTGAGATTTTTTCTATTAAAATTATTGGGCACAAATTTTTTAAGTTTTTTCCGCCGAATTTTGTTTTGTTTTGCATTACAGAATCCGAGTGGAAAAAACTCAGAAAATTGATGCCCAAGCATTCTTATAGAAAAAATCTTGAGAGAAAATTTCAAACAGAAATTCGAAATATATTGACTTTTTCTTATCGAATGTTCAATAGAATCAGCGCAAAAAACAAACAGAATTTTTCAATAGAATTCCAATAGAATTTGCTAGCGAATTTGCTAGACTCTCTACTGAATTTTTTCATGCGTGTGTGTTCACAAATAATCCCAACTCATTGAGAAGCCCCAGAGGATTAAAAATTTCCATCGAAAAAAATAACTAGGATGGACATAATCTGTGATGGAGATTATGTGAAGGACCGATTATTAAGGATTTTTCACGAATAAAAAATAATCGGGATGAAGTAATCGGATTAAAATAATCTCCTCATTTCACCAATTTTTTATCCAGTAATGTCCAGTGGAACAGATGTCCACGCTAATGCTCCTTTACGTATTCATTGAAAGACTCATTTATATCTTTTGTCCATGGGAAAAGAGAAAGGCAATCTTACCTATTTCGAAAGCTCGAATTCAATGCAGCCCTTTCAGCAACAGGAAGTAACAGCTAAATACTATCGTTTCTGCTGCGTTACATAAATATTGAAACGACATCCAGTATTTTTATCGTGAATGGTGGGTGGGTTTTGTTCAAGTTTCTGTCAATAAATTGGAGAGTGGAGAGAGGCGACAATGAGGACTGAGTGATGAATTGAACGATTGAAAAATAATTCAAAGTGAAAAATTCAGATAATGGGGAATTTAAAATAAATAAAAATAATTTCCTCATTTCACCAATTTTTTATCCAGTAATGTCCAGTGGAACAGATGTCCACGCTAATGCTCCTTTACCTATTCATTGAAAGACTCATTTATATCCTTTGTCCATGGGAAAAAAGAAAGGCAGTCTTACCCATTTCGAAAACTCGAATTCAATGCAGCCCTTTCAGCCCACAGAAAGTGACAGATAAATACTATCGTTTCTGTTGCGTTACATAAATATTGAAACGACATCCAGTATTTTTATCGTGAATGGTGGGAGGGTTTTGTTCAAGTTTCTGTAAATAAATTCGAGAGTGGAGAGAGGCGATAATGAGGACTGAGTGATGAATTGAACGGTTATAAAATAATTCAAAGTGAAAAATTCAGATAATGGGGAATTTCACTGATTCGAAATAAAGAGTGTGGCTTTATTGGTGGATAAGATTAATTCGAGACAGTAGACACAAATATGTGTCCTCAGGGTGACGGACATTTCGAATGACGTAAAATAAGCCGTTTGTTCACTAAAAAAATTAAACAACAAAGGAAAATTTGAGCTGAGGAAATTCTATAGAAAATATCTCAATAGAATAAGTTGTATAGAATACATCGAATTCCTTCGAATTTTTCTATAGAATATTGTTCTACTGGATATTTCGATAGAATCAAAAACTAGTCGAAAGTTCAAGAGAAATCCAATAGAATTGCCCATCGAATTCGCTACTCTTTTCTATTAAATTTTTTCATCCGTGTACGCTCTAAAAAATGAATCCTTCTCCCAAGAAAATACTCCCTCGGCGAAAGGAATTTTTTTTCTCAGTGTCTTGGTCCTCATTTTCAAGCAAACGAACATTTCTCGTGACGAAAAACGAGATTCCCCGCTTCCCCAGAAAACAAGCGAATTAACTCACCGATAGCTCTCCGGACGTGGACCTTCACTACTGACGATGTACCGCGCCATCCTGTAGGTCTTCCCATTCCTCACAACGTCAACCCCCTTCTCCCGTTGGAAATAATTAAACTCTTGCTCGAGTGTCAACAAATTGTCAGCGAGAAACTCTTCATCACCAGTTGCGTCCACATACTTCTCAACCTGGATGACAAAAAATAAATAAATTGCGAATTAGAATAATTCCGTAGAGTACTGTCACAAATTTTTGTCTGAAATTGCCGGTAGAATTTTTGGGAATTTTTATCGAATTTAATTACCACTGAAATTCAAGGAATTTCGTCATTAAAAATTCAGAATTTCATAGAAAAATCAAAGAGAATTTCAGTTCTGTCAATTTCAGGTCCATTTTTCTCGGAAAATGAATAGAAAATTTCAGGAGTAATTTTCCAACAGTGCAGTCATATTTCCCCAACAGAGAAGCTCAACATCATATCAAATTTACTCCGCCGTATTTCGATTGGCGGAAGGGAGTAAATTCAATACGCTAGTGCATCCCATTCTGCCCGTACACTCTATCCACAGTGTGGAAACATCCTTGACACCATCCTGACATTTTCTACTGTAAACCACACAGAGCAACATGCAGATCCCGCACATCACTCAGGTCGATACTGCCATTCTCCCGCCGAATGTTCACCCCTACGAACGGAGGATCAACACCGTCAACACCGGATTCGTGTTTATTTGCATGTAACCCCTTCGCAATCCCTTCAAGATTCAGACTTTCGGGGAAATTGTACCGTCACGCGATTAACGACAATTCCCCTGAGAATTCATTCCCCGGAGATGATCTTGGCGGAACGGCGAGAGGGGGGGGGGGCGAGTGTAATTTATAAATGCAAATACATTCTATGCATTTATTCATTCGCCCTATTAAGATGAGCATATTTCTGCTAGACGTCCGATAAATTATTCTCGTTAGAATGTTATTGAGGAGGGTCTGTCGAATGTAGTCTATGAGCTTGCGCAAATTTGCATAGATTAGTGAGATTATAAAATAATAATTTATTCAGTATGTATACCCTGTTGGGCTTTTACATTTTGTTCCTCCCTCGTTCCCCGTTTAATTACATTGTTTGAGTACAAAAGTAGTAAAGATTAGTGAGATTATATTTTTTCTTGACTTTAGGGAGTCAAGATTTTTCAGTGCGCGTGGGGAGAAATTCATAGAGAATTAATCCAAGTGCTCTGACCACGTTTTTTTCTGTCTGGAAACGATTTTTGTTTAGTTATTTTCATTTTTATTGACGTATTATATTTTTTTTATTGATAAGTGAATTAATTTCTTGAGTATTTAATAAAATTGTAATTTTCAGGGGGTAAACACAAGAAAAATCATTGAAAATTGGGGGAATCTCGGGCAACTACTTGATTAAATTGTTAATCTGTTGAAAATGCCATTGAATGTTATGTTTGATTTTCAAACTGAATGAGAAATTTTACGATTGACAGTTGCTGCTTCAACAGGATTTCAAAAAATTTCCAAATCTAAAATTAAATATCAATTTAAGTGACACATTATATATTTTGTTACTGAAAAATTAGCTAATTCCTCGAATATTCAGTGGCATTTCAATTTTCGAGTCCATATAACAACGACAGTTCTCTGAAAAGCGTAACAATTCCGGAAACTCTTCTTCAGAATTCTCATTTAATAAAAATTCAATCGAATATAATAATATGCAGTCTCCAAATGAATAAAAAAACTTCCCTCCTGGATCTGAAATTAAATTCCAATTCTCAACATTAAGAATTCATAGCAGCATGAACTAAATTTTAAAAAAATCCTAACGGTCTCTACACTGTTAGAAAAAAATGAAATTTCATGGATAGTTGACTACTAATTTTCAGGAAAGTGACACTGAATGCGATTTAAGGGAAAAAAATCATGAAATTTCAGGTTTCACTAAAAATTCAGTAAAATTGCAGAATTTTAAACTGCATAAAGACAAGAATTCCTTAATTCATTTGAATTTCCAATCTAATATGAATATTCAGTGCCAAATTACATTGAATTTTCAGTGAAATCTGACATTTCATGATTTTTTCCCTCTAAATCGCATTAAGTATCACTGTCCTGAAAATTCAAGAATATATTTATCGGAATTTTTTGGTTTCCTATTCATTTTCACGGAAAAATAGAACTGTAATTTACAGTTCTCTTTGATGTTTCCACGAAATTCTGAATTTTCAATGACGAAATTCCTTAAAATTTCAGTGGTAATTAGATTCGATAAGAATGTCCAAAAGTGTACCGGAATTTTTAACAGTGTTTTTGTAGACAAAAAAAACCGTTTTCAATGCTTTCCCAGAAACCAAAAACCGCTCAAACTACACGGATTACCATAATTGTGTTGTGGAGAGAGAAGACAGAGCCTTAAATTCTGAATATGAATCGGTGTCCTTGATTTAAGAGAACAATGTATCCCCAATTCGGGAATATTCATCCCCCAACGGCGTAAAAAACCGGCCATTACAGTGAGAAAAAAGGGTCCAAGAAAAAAAAGGAGAAAGCAAGAATTATGCGAGTTTTAGGTGTTTTCAGCGATATTAAGTTGCAGTGCGATGGCCCCTACTTCCCTCCCCACGGGAGGTAGAGTCAACGGACTGCTGCCCGGAGACTCGTAAATACACTCTATAACCAGCTCCTTCCCCATAAGTGTAATACGGCTGCGGGGGCTCATATGCAAGCCCCCAACAACAATGAGTTTCTGCGTTATGCCCAGGACAACTGGGTTTCCTGGGTCGCATTGAACTTACTGTTGTTATTTGACGACAATGGGGACACCGCTGTAAGTCTGTTTGCCAAGTGCTCGATTAAATTGCGTATGTACGTACCATGGGGATTAACAGCGGTGGGTGACTCCTCATCAAATAGTATATACGACCTCCATTCGGTACGAAGCCAAATCTTTGCACGACGGAGAGCAAATTTAATAGCATTCCTTTCACCGTTTCCTTCATTCCGCATAGTAAGAGTCCTTCCACGGTCCAGTAGCTGTCCCAGTAGTAGAACTCTGGGGAGGAAGTTGATTGCATTTAGTGAATTGGATTTTCACACTGAATATTTCGTTTCTGATGTCTTTTCGGATTGGGAGCGAGTGATACTGGGATGTTATTTAGAAAAAATTGAAATCTCACGATGAGTTGGGGAGAAATTTGGGAAATTTCAAATTTAATTACAGATTTAATGGAATTCTGAAGATTTGAGCAAAAAGAAGACAAGAATTCTCGTATTTATTTGAGATTTTAAGAGAAGCGTGAATATTCAATAGCAATTTATGCGGAATTTTCTGGGGAATAATTCAGCAGAAATTCATCATTTTTATGTACTTTTCTAGTAGTAGAACTCTAGGGAAAAAGACGATCGCATTGATTGACTTGGAAATTCCCATTGAATATTTCGTTTTGATAATTTTTCAAAAACGTGAAACATCATTATCAGTTTACTTATCACTCAAGCAAAAAATACTCATTCTAGATAATTTGAAATTCCCAGAGACGCATTAAATCGGCATTTTCGCCCGGCAGGAGTGCCTGATTGACAACAAAATTGGTTTTCGCTTGAAATAGAACCATGAAACCCCAACTCACCTTGAAATCGACCACCGGGAACGATATACCCGTGCTCAACCGGGATGAAGCTGTGTCTCTCGGGATACTGAAGTACCCTATCCGACATTTGTCTCGATAAATTCTTCCAGATGCCGTTCAACTGATGCGCCCAATCGCGAAACTTTGAATCCTGGATTCGGTTGAGTATCGTTGGATTTGCCTGCCAGTCTGGTGGATTCCAGGGTAATGCCTCATCGCTGTTGTCAAAGTTACTCGCTACAAACTGAGCCACCTGAGCTGGGCTCGGCTTTCTACCCGTCGCCTCCATCATTTTTTCGAAACTAAGGGGAGAAAATTATGAAGATAACATGACCAACGTCGTTGCTCATTCAATTCATCAACTCGCTGATGGAAAATACGAGGGTCTCAGCAGAAATGACATTTTTAATCACGCAATTTTCGCTGTAAGGGAGATAAACTCGGGGGATTTTAACATCGACAGGGACCACCGAGGCGAAAATTCCATTCCACGGATATTTTCATTTCGGGTTTACTCGGGGGAAATGGGAACTCCTGTGTATGAGTTAGGAATGAGGCTCCATCGTGGCCAGGGACAGTCAGGGGCGTGACTAATAGAATATATTCTGAATAAATTTGAATGGGAAAAAATGCCGAGGATGCCATCGTCTTGAATATTTTTATGGGGCTATCTGGGCTGAACAATATTCCAATCAGTTAAATAGAATTTGCTCTGTTGAGGTTTTTCTCTTCGAATTCATAAGGATGAATTTCTTAATTTTATTGTTTTAAATTTTGTAATAGAAAAAAATACAGCGAATTTTTTTTCATTATTAAAATTCTAACGGAAATCTACGAAAAATAAATTCGATTTCTTAAGCAGAATCCTAATAGAGTTCTCTCATTAAATTATTATATACCCCCTGTGTATCATGGTCTGGGACATTTAAGGGCGTAACTATAGAATATATTCTGAATAAATTTGAATGGGAAAAAATGCCGAGGATGCCATCGTCTTGAATATTTTTATGGGGCTATCTGGGCTGAACAATATTCCAATCAGTTAAATAGAATTTGCTCTGTTGAGGTTTTTCTCTTCGAATTCATAAGGATGAATTTCTTAATTTTATTGTTTTAAATTTTGTAATAGAAAAAAATACAGCGAATTTTTTTTCATTATTAAAATTCTAACGGAAATCTACGAAAAATAAATTCGATTTCTTAAGCAGAATCCTAATAGAGTTCTCTCATTAAATTATTACATACCCCCTGTGTATCATGGTCTGGGACATTTAAGGGCGTAACTATAGAATATATTCTGAATAAATTTGAATGGGAAAAAATGCCGAGGATGCCATCGTCTTGAATATTTTTATGGGGCTATCTGGGCTGAACAATATTCCGCTCACTTAAATAGAATTTGCTCTGTTGAGATTTTTTTCTCTTCGAATTCATAAGGATGAATTTCTTAATTTTATTGCTTTAAATTTTGTAATAGAAAAAAATACAGTGAATTTTTTTTTTCATTATTAAAATTCTAACGGAAATCTACGAAAAATAAATTCGATTTCTTAAGCAGAATCCTAATAGAGTTCTCTCATTAAATTATTATATACCCCCTGTGTATCATGGTCTGGGACATTTAAGGGCGTAACTATAGAATATATTCTGAATAAATTTGAATGGGAAAAAATGCCGAGGATGCCATCGTCTTGAATATTTTTATGGGGCTATCTGGGCTGAACAATATTCCGATCAGTTAAATAGAATTTGCTCTGTTGAGGTTTTTCTCTTCGAATTCATAAGGATGAATTTCTTAATTTTATTGTTTTAAATTTTGTAATAGAAAAAAATACAGCGAATTTTTTTTCATTATTAAAATTCTAACGGAAATCTACGAAAAATAAATTCGATTTCTTAAGCAGAATCCTAATAGAGTTCTCTCATTAAATTATTACATACATACATAATGATACCTGTGTATCATATGGCAAGGGACATTTAGGGGCGGAATTAACAGAATATATTCTGAATAAATTTTAATGGGCAAAAAATCCAACGATGGGATCATTTTGAATATTTTGTACGGGGTTATCTGGACTGAAAAATATGCTACTGAGTTGAGTAGAATGTTACAGTTAGGTAAAGAAAATAACGGAGAAGAAAAAAAATTAAAAATCGAGAATTGAACTGTCATTTTCTCATTCTTTATGTAATTTGCTTTATCGAGATTTTTTCTGTTAGAAATCTTTAGGATGAATTTTCTAATGTAATTTTTTTAGATTTTGTAATGGAAAACAAAAAAATTCAGTAAATTTATTTTTTAATAGTAAAATTCTAATTGATATCGACAAAAAAATAGATTTCTTAAATTGAATTCTAATAGAAGTCCAGTAGAGCTTTTCCATCAAATTGTTGTATGCATACATAAATCCTGTGTATCATGGCCAGGGACATTCAGGGGCGTCACTGATAGAATATATTCTGAATAAATTTGCATGAAAAAAATTCCGACGATGCGATCACCTTTAATATTTTTATGGGGTTATCTGGGTTGAAAAATATTACACTCAATTGAATGGGATGGTACAATTATTTATAAAAAATGAAGAAAAAGAAGAGAAAATAAGAACTGAAAAGGTAATTAATTTCCTAATTAATTAAAAAAAATTAATTTTCTCCTTAGTTTTGTTATTATCAAAATCATACGATGTCTCTAGTCTTTATTTTCAACACATATTATTTATTTTTCAGTATAATTTAGACAAAAAAATTTCTTCCTCAAAATTCCACGTGAAGTTAAAATTGAAGAAAAAACTAATTAATTTTTTAAATAGAATTATAAGAGAACCGAAGTAGAATTCTTCTCATTAATTTTTGTATGCATGCCTAAATCATAATATCGATTCAACTATAATGCCAGTGAGAATGATTGACTTCCGGCAACCTTCAATAATTGCTATCTCCTCCTCCACCTTTCTACTCACTTCGCCAAAGTCACGGCCGGATCGTTAATCTGATAAAGATCGACGAATGTTTTACTGTCATTGAATATCTTCGCCAATTGCACGGTCCTGAGTAGTTCCCCCTGGCAATAAATTTGGCTGAAAACGAAAAAAAAACGTGAGATCATCAATCATGATTGCATTAACTTTCAGATGATGAATGAAGCGAATTAATTCCTCGAGCTGAATAATCAGCACGCACATCTGAAAGAAACCCCAGAAATTTTAATTTTTGTAGTCACGTTATGTTTCTCATCGATTGAAATAACACGAAATAAAAAATGGGACAATCCAACGAGGACGTGAGTAATTAACTTAATTGCTAATCATGTTTCTGGAAAATTTCTATGAATTTTCACGATAAATAATGCATTTTCCTCTACATAATGTATTTCTCCATTAATACGGATAAATATTCAGATAGTCTCCACTGCAGACAATATATTTCTATTATTTTCTGATTAGGTTTTCCCCATAAATCGGTTGCCCTGTCAGACAAAACAGTCATTACAGTGAATTTGCCTTAGATTTGAAGAAAAAATTGTTATGAAATTTCAAGTCTGGAGTAGAATTCAAACGTTTCAAACATAAATAAGACGGAAATATCACAATTTACTTGAAATAAAACTTTTCATTTCCTGAGAATGGAGCATTATTTACTTTTAATCAATGAAGTTTTCATTTGAATTAAGAAAAAAATTGGTTATGTTTAAAAAATGTTTATTTTATTTGAATAAAATTGCAAATTAAGAATTATGTAAATAAATCCATTTATTTAATTGAAATAAATCATTTCGCTGGGTGGGAAATTTAACTGAAATCTGCATTTTTCATTCACTTGATCAAATCCTGAGATAGAATACTAAGAAAATGAATATAATTCGTGAAATTTCAGTGAAAAAAAAGTTCTCTTCGTGAATATTTCCGGGTTTTTTTACCAAACAAGATTCCCCGATACAAAAGTTTTCTACTTCCGCTGAATTATCCAACGCAAGCTCAATTTTTATTGCCTCAAGGGATACCATTCCCCCGGAAATTATCGGAGTAAACATCCCTGAATTCCCGTTGTGTCCCCATTCATTCTTATTCGAATCCCTCCCCTTTATTTGTTACGAACCGTCGAGATTAATGAGGCCTCGTTCATTCACTGTGTAAACTGATTATCCGTAAATCAGTGAGTCATTTAATTGTTCAACATTGAAGCAGTTCTTTGTGATTGTGTCAACCTCATTGTGTGATATTGATTAGTTAACCTTGGGGAGAGTGGGATGAAATGTAACTGATGGAGAATTGATGCCACTGGTGAACTTTATCGGTGATGGAATGTTTTTCTTTATAATTTATGATTGATTGTATCGCAGAGACAAAAAAAATTTTTTTTAGATTTATTCATTCATTATAAATCCATTAAATTAAATTGAATTAAATTTATTTATAACCAATTCAATTTAATTAATTCAATTGATTTAGTTCAAGTTTATTTATTTTCTATTATATAATTTCTAGGAAAAAAATGGCTGAAATGAAATATTGAAAATAAAAAATTATGAAATTTAGAAAATTTTTCCTAGGGTCTAGAACAATTTGTTATGAAAAGGATCATATATACTTGGATAAATTCAAAATTATTTTTTTAATGGCAGGATAAGTAAATTTTCAGATTTTTTTGATGCAGAGTATTTTGTTTTTTTTTTAATTGAAATTGACTGAACATATGAGGAACAAAAAACGAAGTTGAGTTTGGAAAAACAATTCATGATTCATTCAATTGCTCAACATTGAACCAGTTCTTCGTGATTGTGTCAACGTGATTGTGAGATATTGATTAGTTAACCTTGGGGAGAGTGGGACAAAATGTAACTGATGGAGGATCGATACCACGGGTGAACTTTATCGGTGATGGAATGTGTAGCACAGATAAAAACATTGCTAGTTTCCCGAGAAAATCTCTTTAATTTAATAAACAGCAGTTTTTAACATGAATTTTAGCAGAACTTTTCGTCAAAAATCGATGAATCAATAATTTTTTTAAATATTTTTCGATTAAATTGCAAAAAAATTGAATCAATTACAACAGAAAGAAATTCACGAAAAATTAATAAAGCAATAAATTTATTGCGTCGTCGTTTTTCGAAGAAATCAATAGAATTAGATTTTCCTGTACAACTCGTTCCATTGAGATTGTTTTAATATAAATTCTTTCCTTCAAATTGTCTACCTTTTTTTGATCCAATTTTTTTGTTTAATAAAAAGAGAGAAAAACAGAGTGAAGAAAACATTTAAAATTAATCAATTTTACCAGAATTTTTCATGAAAAATCAATGAATCAATAATTTTTTTAAATATATTTCGATTAGATTTAAAAAAAATTCAAATCAATTAAAAAAGAAATAATTTCTCGAAAAATTAATGAGCCAATAAATTTATTGTGTCGTTGTTTTTCAGCAGAAATGCTCAATGGGAAATATTTTATAGAAGAAATCAATAGAATTTGCTTTTTCTGCACAACTCGTTCCATTGAGATTGTTTTAATAGAAATTCTTTCCTTTAAATGTCCTACCTCTTTTATTTGAATTTTTTTGTTTAATAAAAAGAATTAAAAATAGAGTGAAGAAAACATTGAAAATTCATCAATTTTAACAGAATTTTTCATCAAAAATCAATGGATCAATAATTTTTTTAGATATTTTTCAATTAAATCTAAACAAAAATTCAAATCAATTAAAAAAGAAATAAATTCACTAAAAAAAATAGACCAATAAATTTATTGAATATTTTCTATTAAATTCCTTAATTTCCTTCAAACTACGAAAAAAAATAAGGAGCTGATAGGCCCCCGTCGTCAGTGATGAATTCAATCACCACTAGAATCCCCGACCCTCTGATCGTTCCGTCATCAGGCACATGTGACCGCATCACCCGCTGCAGTGGAAATTTTTACCGAGGAATTACCCCCATCGATGCATTCCACTCAAGCTCCGATGAGCCTGAAAACTCCATCCCATTGGCAACGAGTCTATCGCAATGATACTGTCAAACACGAATGAACAATAATCGTATCGAGTTGCCGCACATGAGGGTGGAGATTCCCCTGAGGATCAATGAGACACAGAGGATCAACATTTGCGAGCCACTGAATTACTCATGCCCCGATGCGACACCGTAACTCCATACACCTGCACTCGAGATATTTCCTGGAGCACGTCGATTCTGCGCGTGTTTACATACGTCTGCTCTGCCGGGGTGATCACGCATACATCGCTTTTGGAATTGGAAATTCATCAAAACATCCGAATTTACATTTTGGATGATGAGAGGACGAGAATTAATGCCGGAGGATATTAAAAATCCTCCTGATGGACGTGCGGGGTAATTTCCCAAGAGTCCTATTATTTTAAATTCAATTTTATTCGCGTTTGGATGGGGAAAACCTCATTGAATATGGAAAATTTTAATTTCAAGGGAAGAGGGAATACAGAGAAAATACTTTTTAATTTCGGGGAACATGTCACTGATTTTTAGAAATCTATGACCAATTGCTGGTGATACTGGACACTGATTAGAACAACCCTGATCATCAGTGATTTGACGGATGGAAAAGTTTTGCAGAAAAAAGTCTGAATTTGGAAATTTTTGGAAATGGAATGACAGATGCAATTGAATTCTCAAAGTCGTTGTGAAAATTGAAGATGACATTCGATTGAATCTTCAATAGAGTGAGAATTGAGTAGAATGATTGCCTGAATTTCCACAATTTTCAGTAGTATTCATTTGTCACATGAACGTGAAAATTGATATTTCATTGAATATTCCAGAAATTAACTGTTTTTTTGCAATAAAATATTCGAAAGTTTCATGTCGATTAGTCGCTGTTTTTACTTGAAATTTGAGGAGTAATTTTATAACAATCTAGCGAATTTGCTAGAAAATTCTATTGGATTTCTACTAAATTTTCTATTAACTTTTAATTGATTCTATTGACAAATTCCGCAGCTCAAATTCTCCACGTTTTTTTGCTTGATTTTTTTAAATGAAGAGAGAAAAATAGATTGAATAAAACATTGAAAATTCACGTCGAGAAATTCCTATAGAAAATTTTGCAATAAAAAAGTTTTATGAAGAGAAAGAATTTCTGTTACAAATTTTGATTTAATTTTTTTTAATTAGTGACGATGTCCCCTAAAAAAATGAGAATGTCATTGGAAATTAGTGATAATGTTACTCAAAATTGATGACAAAATCACTAAATTTCAGAATTTTTAATAATTAAGAACAGATTCCTGGAAATCAGTAACATCTCCCTGGAAATAAAAACTTTTTTCTCTCCGAATTATTTCAATTTCACAACATAACAATGAGAATTGAATCAATCATCTTTCAGCCTGAGATATTTGTCCATTCGATTCAGAGATTTTTCGTGATGATGGAGAAAGCTTTCGTGGGGACAACCACCTGGGGCATTCGACACATCTGTGCGCATATTTTTCTCATCTCCCCGGAATCTCCGATTTTTTATGGAACATGTGACACCCCGAGACACCCGTATCGACGTGGCCTGATAAAACAAAGATATCTTGGAGAATTTTGAAAACAAAGGGACATCAGAAGTGCGAAATGGAATGGTGCATCTCACTCTAATAAACATTTCCGTTTTCATTCTCTTTGACCTGACGTACGAGTTACGTGAAATTGTACAGGAAGAGAAAAATGAGAGAAACTTTTCGTTCATTAGGACATGACAAATATTTCCGAGGAATATTTTTATTCTTTTTCCTGTGACAGGAATTTTGATCGACTGCACGTCCAAGTGATGGATTAATCAGCTAAACAAATATTCATTTTTATGCTTTGTTTATTATGAGGGATTTTAGTCCATATTGGCATTTTGATGTTCAGATTCTGATGTTCTTTTTTTTGGTGATATAAATTTTCATTTTATATAATTCTACTCTAGTCCACTTTTTAAGAAACTTGGGTGCAATGATCAAAGTTTTTGGTTGAAATATCCGGTACGCTTCTTGGAAATTTATGTCATATTATACACTGAGAAAAAAAGTAAAAATTACGGAACTCACAATTCGCTCACCGATTACGGAATCGACTTAGAAAATTTAGGTGGCGGTATCGTAATTTTTCACAGGAGATTGAGATAAAAATTACGGAACGCTCTGCAAAAATTCCGTGACAGTTCCCTAAAATTTCCTACAACCACATTTCGCTCCGGAATTGCGGAAAAGATACGTCATTTTTATTGAGTATTTCTCTCCGTGTAGTTTTAGGAATTGTGCCCTTGAAAATCCAATGTTTTTTTGAATATAATCAATGAAAAATATAAATTTCAATAAAAATAATTTCATGGACTATATTCTTGAATTGTCAATTAATTGCAGATTCCTTGTAATTTGGTACTGAAAATTCATGTTTTGGTTGAAGACTCGACTATGCTTGGGAATTCTCGTTTTGTTGCAGCTCAAAAAGTTTCAAATTAATTGAATTTTTAGTGCCATTTGAAATTTCATGAATTTTGTTCCCCCAAATCTAATTTAACACTAGTTTGATTACCTGACGTGAACCTGTAATTTGGTCGCTCCGCGGGGATTTGCCGCCATTTTATTCAGGCTTGAACATTGCCGAATTCACTCTGCACTGCCCGGGCGCGTTTAGCCAGTTTCCGGCAACGTCGCGCAACGGGCAATTTCGTGCAACACGGGAAGACATTGTTCAACTGTTGGAAATGATTTTTTTCTCTAAGAATTTGAGATGTGATATACTTTCTTAAATACTCAAATTTTCCAGATGCTTCAACTGACCAATTCAAATTTTTTTGGATTTTTCCAGACAATAAGTAGATGGCAAGAAGAAAAAAAACGACGCGATTTAGAAAAAGAATGAAATTGCATGGACAGTTGACTACGAATTGTCAGGACAGTGACACTGAATGAAATTTAGGAGAAAATTCAATAAAATTCCAAATTTTTAAGCAGCATAAAGACGAGAATTCCTTAATTTATTTGAATTTCCAATTTAATATGAATATTCAGTGCCAAATTATATTCAATTTTCAGTGAAATCTGAAATTTCATTATTGTTCCTTCCTAAATCGCATTCAGCGTGTCCTGAAAATTCGAGAATATATTTACCGGAATTTTCTGGTTTTCTACTGATCTTCAGGGAAAAATGGAACTGAAATTTACAGTTCTCTTTGATATTCCACGAAATTCTGAATTTTCAATGACGAAATTCCCTGAAATTTCCATGTTAATTAAATCCGATAAAAATATCCAGAAAGTGTACCGGAAATTTCAGACAAAAATTTTTAACAGTGCGATCTAGGGTCAATATCGCTCCCCCGAAAATTACAAGTTAAACACCTATGAAATTTCATTTATTTCTCTACGACAGCTCCAGTCGATTCCCCGTCTATTTTTAAAGATCTTGACTTATCCCCAAGGAAGCTATTTTACGCCACATTCGATAATGCACAGTGCGACCACCCGAGTGACCTACTGATAATAAAAAAAACTTCGAATAAGAGTTGTACGCGTGCAGACGTATCACTTGAGCAATACCTTCAGACCCAAGTGGATATAATTACTCCAATCAACTTTAATGATTCGCCAATAACTTAACAATAGCAGCAGGACTGTGAACCCATGTTAGCTGATTCCCTCAATAGGCCACAACGAAGACGACGATTTGAATTGAAGGTTCAAAGTTCACGTCTTCACGAAAATTCCTCTTCTTTGAAGCGCGGGGTAAACCGAACCGTCTTCAACGCTGAATAACTCGAGAACCGCTAATTGAAATTTCACCATTTTTTTTCTATTTTGAAGATTAAAAAAATATCTTCAAAATAAGCTCTGACTCCTTCGAATTGTTCCATTCTTTCGGGAGATATCAACGATTGAAGATTGTTCTACCAAATTATTTTTTGTCCAGTTTATCAGGCCAAATTAATTCTCATTAATTAAGACTTGAAAAAGTTAATTAATATTAGAGGACTGAACTGAGCGGCTGAACTTCATTTGAATAAGACCGTTGGCCACCCCGAGATAAAAGAAAGTTGAAAATGCTGGGCGTTATGACACCGTTAATATTAAACTTGCTGTGAATAAAATTATCATTAACAAAATCTCAAAATTGTGATAAGCGAGAAGTTTAGCCCCTGACACGCTAGTCAAGGTTATCAGATCTCTATTAGCCAGAGCATGGAATGAATAAAGTTTGTGTGTAATTCAAGATATTTAAACCCGAGTTTATCAAGAGATGTGGGAAACTTTGATTATAAGGGGCTCGAAAACTTTCCACAGCCGCAGTTCAATTACCACTTGCTTTGTGTCAACTTCAACGAGATTTGATCAGCTGAATTGGAGGGGATTTTGATACTCGATCATCCAGACTGTAATCTATAACCAGAAATTCCGTAACAAATGTGCTTCTGGATATTCTGTTATCGGGAGTTCTATGCTCCGGGTGAATATCTTATCGTGAAATGTGAAACCGGAACTGCATTCATGTCGGGTTTTGATTGTGACAATCGCGAATTCACGTGACTGCCCCTATTTTTCTCGGGTTTGATATGGGATTCATGGATTTTTAAGTACATGATTGCAGTTCTTACTAAATTAAGACTTGAACATTTTAATAAGTTCATTGATCAATTTATGCATTGAAACATTTTTAATTATCAAATTTTTCAATTAAAATGCGTGAGGAATATTTGAAATAATTCATGAATAATGTTGTTTTTTAAAGTACATTTTAAATTTTTTTAAAATATTGCCTTGCCTGAATAAACAATGGACATTATTTTTCTTGAGCATTAAAATGATTTTTAGGAATTAATTAATAAATTTGGTGAGTTAACTTTAAATGACTAAATTCCTCAATTTATTAAATTATTGACACATTTTTAAGTATGAAATTTTCCAGATAAATTATCAGAGAATTCGAAATTAGAATTGCGCTATGTAAATTCCATTTTGCATAATTTTTTCAACATTCACTTCCCATAAATAAATAACCGAAATCATTTTTCTTGAGCATGAAATTTATTTTCAATGAAATACTGTGGAAAATTAATTGTTTACACCATTGCTGCGCGATTACAAAAAAGCAAGAGTAATTTTCAATTAATTTTTCTCTGTTCTTCGAGCATCAAAAATCGTCGAAACCATATAAAAAAATAAACTCCGAAGCTAATACATTTTAAACCCTCTGAGAAATAATTTAATTCAATTAAAATTTTGTGCAAAATAAAAAAAAGGTTTCTTTGATTGAAATAAACCCTTTACCAATTAAAAAAGGATTTGTTTAGACAGCAAAAGGAATAAACTCCTCAACATAAAATAATTCTTTATTATAATTAATTGAATTCAACTAATTAAAAAAGAAAAGATTGAATGGAAGAGAAAAACTTCAAATGAAAAGTCCTGCAGCATTCAAATGCGAATGAATATTTCCGCCTCGTAGGGATTAATCCCTCTTACCTCTCACAAAGGTAAGACAAAAAAATTATTTTTAATGCTCGATTGTTTACAACAAAATACACGGGTAATTTTTAATTAAATTTTTTTCCATTCTTTGACCATCAGAAATAGTCAAAACGATGTTGAAAAAAATGAAATCCGAGGCTAATATGTTTTAAACCCTCACAGAAACAATTAACTTGAATTAAAAGTTTAATCAACATATAATAATTCTCCATTTAAATAGATAAATTCCCAAAAAATTGTAATTTGCACAAATTAAAAAAACTGGTTGAATCGAATAGAAAAACTTCAAATAAAAACTTCTGCAGGATTAAAAATCAAAGTGAATCGAAGATTCACAACTCGAACGAATATTTCCACTTCTTAGAGATCAAGCCCTCTTACCTGTCACAAAGATCCGTTCGAATATTCTCCTCGTTGTACCTCGTAACGATGCTGGCGCCGTAAACACCACTCAGCATCAACATAAATAGAAACACGTGCATCGCCATGTTTTCCCGGATTATTTGCACACCCCGAAACCTTTGACAATTTCAACGTAAAAACAGAAGCAGCAATCAATTCTGATTCCCTCCGTCTCCCGGAAACGCCCCTGCCACTGTCAAATCTCCCCTTATATATTCCCGTAATAAAAATCGCAATTTCAGGGAACGAACTTTATGGCGCACACGCGGATATTGATGTGTACAATCAAGTGTAATATTTCAACGAAAACGAACAAAGGGAAAACTGATGGAAATTTTGAAATTAAGAGAGATGGGACGCGAGCGGCCGGGGGCATATGATGTGACTGCCCAAGTCGAGTGGAGTGTCAATCTCACTGTGGCGGTCAGTTATATACCACCGGGGCTGATAACTTTTTTTGTATCAGACGCTGGATGGGTTTGCCGGTGTGATCGACCCATCCCATTGGCTAATGATTGCGTGAACGCTCAGTGGTGCTCGCATTAACATACAATCGTTATTTATGGTTTTTTAAAGTGGGGGTGGAATTATAATTTTTTTCATTTGCAAGTGGAACGGGCGCTCCGGTTCTATTTTCCTGGTGTCGTGATAAGGGTCCATGTGGAGGAAATTTTCCATTGAAAATAATCCCTTGAATTTGATTGAATAATTATTGCCTTCTACTGTGCTAAATTAATAGCGGCAGGGAAGAATAACACTCCCCTTTTTCACTTTCTAGGGATTTTTTTAAAGGGGAGACTGCTATTATTAGTGAAAAAAATTAATTGTTTATTGCTCGTTTGTCCCGCACATGCTTAAAATAAAGACGTAGTTCTAAATCTATTTTCCCCCTTAAGTTTGAAAAGGAGATCTGATTCGTCTTAATTTTTTTCTAATTTTACACTAGTGTTCACACTGGATTGTCGGATATTTTGCGATGAATCCTGGATGAATAATGAAAATAATTGAAAAGATGGGGCTGATAACTGTTTTTTTATTATTTATCGAACGCTGGGTGGGCTTGCCGGTGTGACCAATCCATCCCATTGGCTAATGATTACATGAACGCTCGGTGGTCCTCACATTAACATGTAATCGTTATTTATGGGTTTTTCAAAGTGGGGGTAGAATAATAATTTTTTTCATTTGCAAGTGCAACGGGCGCTCCAGTTCCAGTTTTTTTATTCCTGATAAGGGTGCATGTGGGGGAAATTCACTAGTCAAAATAATCCCTTGATTTTGATAAAACGACAGACACTGCAATTTAGCAGAGAATAATTGCAGTTTTTTTGTACGAAATTAATATTATTCACTTTTGAGGCATTTTTTTAAGCTCGAAAATTCGTCTCAATTTTTTATTAATTTTAGACTAGTCTTCATACTGGATTATCGGATATTGTGCGATGAATACTGGATGACTAATGAGAATAATTCTAGTCGCTGATAAACTTAAATAAAGTAGGTATAAGGAAGGCAACGTTAAAAAAAATAATGAGAATAATTGAAAAAATGCGGCTGATAACTTTTTTTTATCAACTGCTGAGTGGGCTTGCCGGTGTGATCAATCCATCCCATTGGCTAATGATTACATGAACGCCCGGTGGTCCTCATATTAACATGTAATCGTTATTTATGGGTTTTTAAAAGTGGGGGTGGAATAATAATTTCTTTCATTTGCAAGTGCAACGGGCGCTCCAGTTCCATTTTTTTCTATTCGTGACAAGGGTGCTTGCGGAGGAAATTTTCTAGCGAAAATAATCCCTTGAATTTGATAATCCGGCGGATGTTGTGTAAATTCTATTGATTTATGTTATAGATTTTTTACAAAATTTCATTTACCTGAATTTGTATTAATAATTCCGTTTTTTTCCGTCAAAGAATTGCAAGAAAATATTGCAATTTTCACTGGAATTATTATTGCATTTCCTGAAAAAAAAATCGCAAATGGCAATATTTTTGCCAAATTTTTACTAAAAAACCGCTGTAAATTCCAGCTCTACTAAAAATACACAATTACTGAAATACAGCATAATTTCCAACATAAATTTCTCTTTCCGACGCATTAATAAATTCCCGCGATAAATTCATGGAATTGTGATGGGTAATCATTCCCAAATCCGATCAACTTCAATAAATTCCATCGCTCGAATTCCTCCGTGAATCGAGTGAATCGTTGAGATTGCATCAAATCCCTAAATTCCAATTGATAGAATGCAGTAACCGCAGCATTCCAGCCGGAAATATTATTTAATTCGTGCCTCTATCGCACGATTTATCGCGCAAGTGGAACGCCTCCCATTTTTTTAATCAAAAAATTTTAGGTATTCGATTTAATCTAATCTCAAATCTGATGGTTAGGTTCTTTATTAGAGGTATTAGATCAACACTTCAATTGCGAGAAAAAAACATTGATAAATCGCGATAAACTCACTAGTTCGATTATCAGTTATGTGGAAAATTACTCCGAATGCTCCGTTTAATTATTTTCAATTCTATCGCTTTCGTATGCTTGGAAATTCCTGGAGTGTTGATGATGATATAATGACGTTTTCTTTGCAATATTCAGGTACTTACTTTTGGATAGGGTTTGATGTGATGGCGCCATTTATCCTGTCATTAGGACTAATGCACTTGGGCGAATAATTATCGTTTAAATAATGCAGGACTGAATAATCGTTTCTATGTGGATATGCGCACGTACTCCATAATAACTGATGGGGCCAATTTTCTAATCTCCAGGAATTCATATTAATTTTTATGTGATGGGGGTCACAGACTACACGAAGAGAAAAATTCAATAAAAATTACCAGAAAGAAAACGTAAAAATTATGTTTCGAAACGTAATCCGCGAGCGAAGTAAAATTCAATAAAAAGTGTGAGTCGGAATTGAAATTGTACGAATCGCCACGTAAATTCTACGATTTGTTCCGTAAAAATTAACCACCCGACTGATGACTCACCGCTGTGATGACAACAAGTCGTTCCGTAATTTTTCCCCAACAATTGAGAAATTTTACGGAACGGAACGTAGAAATAACTCACCCGCTTCATAAAAATTGTTGAACGTTCAAGAATTATTGATTTTGGAGGCACAATAAGTTGGCAAGTTTCTGTAAGATTTCTGTGACAATTTCGTACTTTGTTCGGTGATGAACCTGAAAATTCACTGAATGTTTCAGATTTCTTCTCTTCCATTCCTATAAAAATTGCCGGAAAACGTCCCCCCATTGTGGATTACGTGAATTGTTCCGTAATTTTTACTGAATTTTTCTCTCCGTGTATAATTAATTCGATTTTGCGATTTTTTTCTTGGAAAATATTTATTAACTAAATTTTGGTTTATCAAACATCATTACAATCTCCAGTTTAATTGAGTTAAAGTTGATTATTGGACATTACTGTATAAATTACTTTATAAATTATTAATTTATAAATTTTGAGTGAGATAAATGGAATGATGTTTCCTTTGCAATATTCAGGTACTTACTTTTGGATAGGGCTTGATGAGACGGCGCCATTTATCCTGTCATTAAGGCTAATGCACTTGGACGGATTATCATCGTCTAAATAATGTAGAACTGAATCGCCATTTCCATGTGGAATAATCGCACATACTCCATGGTAATTGATGGAGCGACTTTCGCAATCTCAAGAAATGAATATTAATTTTCATGTGATTGATTTCAATAGAAGGGGTCACAGACTATAATTAATTTGCTTCTGATAATTTTTTCCGTCAAATATTTATTAATTTAATTTAATTTTATCTAACTTCATGAAAATCTCCAATTTAGTTGATTTACAATTAATTATTAAATATTATTGCTGTATAAATTTTGAGTTGAATGAATGGGTTCATTCAAGTAATTAATATCGAATGAATATTTTTCAAATAAAAACAAATTTTCTGTATTTCAAGTAAATTAATTGTTTATTCCAAGTAATAAAAACATTCTCATTGAAATAAATACATGCATTTATGAATTAAACAGAAAATTATTGAAATGAATAAAAAAATGTCGAATGAAGAATTTTTGATTCAAATGCATCGTCTCTGTGGGTGTAGTTAATAAAGTTCCTTGACAATGAATGAATGAATCGTTCTATCAGCGTATTGAGCTATTTTAGCGCCTATTTACTCAGCACTTGAACAATGCGGCACGTGACATTCCACCGCACGTGTCAATTAGAATTTCGAGTCTCGCCTTTTCAGTGGAATTATCTCCACTCACGGCTTCGGGAGCGCCCAGCGATTAACAGGTTTTACGAGTAATCTTAGTAGTTGCAAGGATTTACCTCCGGAAATGTCGGGAGATATGCACGTTGAATTGTCATGCTACCGCAGTGCAGAACAAGGCTTACACCAAATAGATAAAGGCTCCAGTTAGGGTGTTGGGTATGGAAATTTATGAGCGGGATTATTTCATCTGTTAACCTCGATTGTTGTTGTGGCTTTCAAAGGGAATGCATAACTAAAAATTTGAGTAAAATTGTTGATTCACTTCTTGGATATTTTTATCATATTATAGTTGCAATGAAATTTCAAGGAATTTAGTTATTGAAAATCGACATTTTTATGGAGAAATTGATGTAAATTGAAAATTTCAGTTTAATTATTTTATAGAAATTAATAGAGATCGGGAAAATTCTGGGTAATATATGCTTGATTTTTAATAAATTGAAGATTTAAGCAAGTTGGGAAATGTTAGTTTTTCTGCTGCTCAAAAATTCGGAATTTTGTTGAATTATCACTGAAATCTGAACCTTTAAGATTTTTTCTTTCAATATAAAGTACAATATTACTCCCCAGAAAATTATTTGTCAACTGTTCATGAAATTCCATTTTTTCCTAACGGTGCACGCCTCAGTGATCATTTCGTCGCTTCAGACTCGTGTTTTTTATTATTTTTCAAATATTTCTACCTAAAGTTCGATGATTTATTCCATCGACCATAAACTACCTGCATCCGAGAAATTTATATGATGCCCCAAGAGGATATAACCAGCAAGAACGGATGGAGAAGAAGAAGAGAAATTTATTACTCAGCAATCTGAGAAGTTTTAATGGAATTCAATTACCAACAAATTCTCTTCATTTAAACTTTATTAAATTCCTTGTACACAAAGCGAAAATCATGGACTGTGGGAGAAATATGAGGATTATGATCATGATGAACTTGGAGAAGTGAATTAAAACGCGAATTTGATAATTGTAATATATTGAATCTCTTTCTCTTGAATATTCAATTTATTTTTCCTCCTGATTTTTATGCAGAATATTGCAGATTTTAAACATTAATATCTAGTTGACAAGTACACTGCAGACAATTTTCAGCTAAAATTTCAAGTTCAC